GAAGTATTTGTAATGCTTGCATAAATACTTATATAAGAGCTACATAAAGAACACGTGACCTTCTGTGATTGACTTCTTTGACTTAGCATAAATATTTTTAAGGGTTAGCCATGCTGTAGTGTATCAGGGTTTTTTTGTTGTTGTTGTTTGTTGTTGTTGATGTTTTGTTTTTTTGATAGGGTCTCATGTAGTTCAGGCTGACTTCAAACTCACTATGTAGCTGAGGACCCTTTTACCTCCACATCCCGGGTATGTGCCACCATGCCTTGATCATACAGTACTGGGGACAGAACTCAGGCCTTCAAGCATGCTAGGCAAGCACTCTACCAACTGAGCTGCATCTTAGCCCTGTACCTTTCTTCTTTTTGTGACCAAATAACATTCCATTGTATGGATGGATATCCTACATTTTGTTTATCTACTTCCCTGTTGCTGGACACTAGGTGGAAGCTTTTTGGCTGTTTTGAATAGTGATGCTAGACATATTCATGGGGAAGTTTTGATCTGCAATCTTATTTAAATATTTCTCTTTTTTTTCCTTTCTTTTTTGAGACAGTCTCATGTAGCTCTGGCTGACCTCAAACTCCCAATGTAGCCTAGGATGACCTTGAAATTCTGGTCCTCCAACTCTACTTCCTCATAATTGGAATTATAGCCTGAGCCACCATGTCTGGTTTATGTGGTGTTGGGAATTGAACCCAGGGCTTCATACAGGCTAGGAAAATAGTCTACCAACTGAGCCACATCCCTAGCCCTATTGTTTAAACATCTTAATTGACTTTTCTCCTTTTTAGGAGCCACATTCTATAAAAGTGAGGTGTGTTCTGGTAGAGTAAATGAGGTTGGTTGAATAAACAAAGAGCTAACAAGTAAAAACAAAGAACGAAAGCAGAGTGATCATTTCAAAGTGGCTTTCCTTAAAAGACTGGGCAGAGATGAAGATGTAGAAAAACAACTGATTGGTCAGCATTAGATTATTTGAGGTTACTTTTCTTCTTTCTTATGTTAGGACTGAAACTCAACACTTTGTGCATGTAAGCACTCTACTGAGCTCCATCTCCAGCCCCGAGCGCACCATTTTTTAGTGTAAGGATTAAGGTAGGAGGGCTTCATTTTCATACAGACTGAAACTGTTTAGGAAATATGGCTGTTGTCTCATTGGTCTGGCATTTTGAAATTTCAGGAAAACAGTTGAGTCTTATTTGATAACCCAGAGCTTCAGACTGAGTGACTCCATTTTGATTTTAGTCTTGTCTGTTGGATCAGTGTAAGAACTTAAGTCCAAAGCAATGATCCCTTGTAATTGTGTGTGTGTGTGTGTGTGTGTGTGTGTGTGTGTGTGTGTGTGTGTGTTGGAAAGGGTAGAGGTCAATGTTGAGTCTCTTAAATCTCATCTTATTTTTAAATATTTTGTACATTTATTTATTTATTTAGTGTGGAGGTCAGAGAACAACTTGTGGCAATCTTTTCTCTCCTTCCACCATGTGGGTCCTAGGGATTGAAATCAGGTTGTCAGGCTTGGCAGCAAGTACTTTTACCTGCTGAGCCATCTCGAACGACCCGCCTTATTTTATTTTATTTATTTATTGAGACCTGGTCTCTCATTGAACCTGGAGCTCACGTATTTGGGTAGGCTGGCTGGCCAGCAGCTCTTCCCCCCATCTTCTTGGTCCCCCTTCCCCAGTGCTAATATTGTAGGTATACACTGTGCTGCCAGCTTTTTACGTGGGTGCTGGGGAACCAAATTCAGGGCCTCATTCTTGTATGACAAGTCCTCTCTCCAATCCCAAACTCCAATAATTTTTATTGAATAGTTTGAGCACTTGCTTTCAATTTGTTTGGGTATATTTCTAGGAATAGACTTGTCAGGTCACATGGTGATTCTATGTTTTGCTTTTTGAAGAACCACATTCTGTTTTCCACAGTGCTTGAACCATTTTATATTCCCACCAGCAGTGAACAAGGATTCCAATTTCTTCACATTCTCATAACACAGGAACACTTACTTGGTTTTTGCCTTCTTCTAAGTGAATTTTCAGTCAAGTTCTCAGTGAATTAGTAGTTTTGTATGTGTATGGGTGTTGTTTATTTATGTGTGTGCAGGTACACAGGTTTGTGCAGGTGTGTGCATGAACGTGTGCACATGTGTGTAGAGGCCAGAGGACAAGCTCAGGTGTCATTTCAGGTGCTGTCCATGTTGGTCTGGTACTCACTGATTAGGCTAGGCTGGCCAGTGAGCCCCTGGGATCCTCGTCTCCACCTCCCCAGTGCTGGGGTTACAAGTATATGCCATTATGCTGGGTGTGGTGATGCACGCCTTTAATCCCAGCACTCAGGAGGCAGAGGCAGGTGGATCTCTGTGAGTTCAAGGCCAGCCTGGTTTACATAGTGAGTTCTAGGCCAGCTGGGGTTACTAGAAGACCCCTATCTCAAAAAGACTAAAAAATATGCTATTACACCCAGCTTTTTACATGGATTCTGAGGATACAACTTGGGTTTCAGTTGTACAGCAAGCACTTTACAGGCTGAGCCATTCCCCCAGCCCCTCAGAGTTTTAATTTGTATGTCATATGCTGGTTGGAAAGATATATATTCAAGTGCTTTGCTTTTTTCCTTCTCCTTTTCACAGTACTGGGAATTGAACCCAGGGCCTCATACATGCCCTCCAAGAGCAAATGCTCTTCCACTAAGCTACACCCTCAGGCCCCTTTGCCCATGTTTATTGAGTCATCATGCATTTATTCAACTGACCGTTTGTAGGAGTACTTATGTTCTAAATACTCAGGCACTGGGAATAAAGTGTGAACACATCAGCTGCCAACATCAAGAAGTCAAGAGATGTTTTTTGTTCCCAACTTCCTTATTTCCAACTTAAATGAAATCAGATCTGGGCATGTGTTTTCACACACCAACTCTCTGAGGGCACCTTTAGGTGAGGCTGGGCCTTGTCTCTTGTTCTCATGAAACACCCACTTGGATTCAGTCCCATGTGGCCACTGAGAGTTTTGGGGTTTCAATCCCTAATTGAAGCCACACAGTTTCTGCCTTTTAGTTCTGTGAGTTGAGACTAATGGGGTCTGCTGGCTCTCCTCCTCCAACTCTTTCAGCTTCTTATGGCACAAATGTTTCTTTTTTTAATTTTTTAATATTTTATTTATTATTTTTATTTTATGTGTACAACTGTATCGCCTGCATGTATGTGAGTGCACCCGTGTTGTGCAATGCCACGGAGGTCAGAAGAGGGCTTTGGATTCCCCTGGAACTGGAGTTAAGGATGGTTTGTAAGCTGCCAAGTGGGTGCTGGGAATCTAACTTGGGTCCTCTGCTAGAGCAGTCAGTGCTCTTACCGCTGAGCCATCTCTCCAGCCCTGGCACAAATGTTTCTTAAAACTTCCCCAGATCTCTTTAAAAATATAAAAAGAAGTGGCCATCCTTTGGGGCCAGGTGTTAGGGTGTGTGCAGAGAAGGAAAAATCAGTTTGTGCTTGGGCTTCTGAAACAACTAAATGACAGGGGTGGTTCCTATGTTTATGAGCAAATTGCATTGGTAGGAATTTCTAGAACTCTTTTAACTCTTTGGAGGAGCTGCCTGTTTCCCACTCAGCACTGCCCTACCCTCTTTCATTGCTTTTTAGAAGTATGAAAAAAAACAAAACAAAACAAATAGCATTGAAGTTAGAGACCTTCTGGTAACTAGACAAAGGAAAACTCCAAAGAAGAGGCAGGCCTGGCAGTGAATCGAGGCAGTTGCCCTGGTTTCCATTTCAGACTCAGCTGTTTCCCATCCTTGCTGAACCTTGGCATCTTTGCATGTCAACTTCCTTACTTTGTTCATAATTCACCTGCACTTCAGGGTCTTGTTATGTATGGCATGGTTTTCACTATGTAGCTCAGGCTGGCCTCAAATTCTCGGTAGTAGCCGCCTAAGTACTGGGATGCAGGTGTGTATGCCAATGAAATCCATTCACTGAGAGTGATATAAAGGAGATGGGAGTTTCTTGCTTGAAGACAACTCTCTCTGTTCCTGGTGTGGGACATCCTTATTGAGGCACCAGCTCCTTCTTTCCTGGCTCCGTGGTGCCTGAGATCACCATGCGTTCCACATGCTACCATCCTTTTCGTAATCACCTATGCCATGTGACAGCATCTGAGAGTGGGAGCCCAAGGTCAGGTGCCAGTGGAACATGGGAGCGCTCTTTGTTTGCAGGCACACTGTTACTGATACTTTTCAACTGTCTTTCCTAGGGACACCACCTGCCTCCTAAACCTGTTGCCTATTCTGTCTTTGAACTTCAGGCTCAGAGGAGAGAAACTGACCCACTGAGGAGCCAAGAAACCCAAGGCCCTGGATCCCAGCTCTGGGTCCAATCATGGGGGTTACCAGTTCCTCAGGAATTATCATAGTGACCTTCACCCTTAATGAGGCAGGGGTCGGGGTACAGGTGCAGTGACCCTTTATAAGATCTGTCTCTGTGCAGCTGGCTCTTGCTGGCTCTTCTGACCACCTCATTGTTTCCAGGAAGGTGCAGAAGGCACCTTGCCTCTAGCTTAGGGTGGTCCTGCCCCTACCCTGCTGCTTGGGGATTAGGCTTAGAGTTAGGAAAAGAGTAGTCTAAGCTTACAAGACTAGTTACAAGAAGGTCTGGAGAGAGACTGGTGATGTAGGTCAGTTGGTAGAGTGCTTGCCTAGTATGCACGAAACTTTGGCTTCAGTCCCTATCACAGAATAAAACTGGGTGTGGTAGTGCATGTCTGTAATCCCAGCACGCAAGAGGTGGGGGCAAAAGTTCAAGGTCATCGTCCTCTGCTACATCGTAGTGAATTTGAGGCGAGCCTGGGTGAGATACATGAGCTTCTGTCTCAAAAGAAAAAAAAGATCTGGAGAAAGCTTAGTGGTCCCTCCTTAACATAAACAGTTGGACCGCTGGCTAAGTGTGCCAGGCCTCTGGTACTGGGGAGGTCCAACCTGGTACCATCCAGATCATGGCCTCTCTCCCACAGTTCTGGAGAGATGAACTACACCAGCCCCTTGCCTATCGGAGGCCTCAGCTATGTTCAGGGCCACACCAACTTCCATCTTGTCAATACAACTGTGGGTGAGTGCCTGGATGCCACAGCACAGAGATTCCCCAACCGAGAGGCTTTGGTTATCCTCCATGAAAATATCAGGCTGACCTTTGCACAACTCAAGGAGGAGGTGAGTACTGGCCTTGAACCTTCAAAGAGCAGCTGCTAGTCCCCAACTGTTGTAGTTGGGTGGAGCTGCAAAGTAGGTACTTGACTGTGGAGCAGTGTGCCAGGGTTGCCTGAGGACCCCAAGGGTTGGTATCAGATGGGGACAGAAGCAGAAGTGGCCCCGATGCCTCCTGTTAATAGCTCCTAGAGTATTTGTTGACTATGTGGACTTCCTGCCTCCATCTCTGGTTTGTGAAGGTCTGAAAATCCCTTTGTTCCTAGTGATTCCTGGGCCAAGGGAGGAGGTAGGAGACATGGGTTGCCTCCTGCTTGCCTTCACCTTACCACTTGGTCCCTATCTCTTTGTACCAGGTAGACAAAGCTGCTGCTGGCCTCCTGAGCCTTGGTCTTCGCAAGGGTGACCGGCTGGGCATGTGGGGACCCAACTCCTATGCATGGGTACTCATTCAGTTGGCCACTGCGCAGGCAGGCATCATACTGGTAAGAAGGGGTTTACCTGGCACAATTGAGTATGTGGAGGGATGTCACTCAACAGGAGCTCTTGACAGTGGAACCAAACCAGTATCTGGCTGGTTCAGACCTGGTAGTGCTTTCTCCTAAGGCTCACTGAAGAGCCCTGGCAAAGTGAAGGATGCTTCCTTGTGCCTTCTGAGAGGGGCAGTGGGAAGGACACTCACATGCCCTCCCTGTTCCCCTAGGTATCTGTGAACCCAGCCTACCAGGCCATAGAACTGGAATACGTCCTCGGAAAGGTACTATTAGTTCCTGATCGGAAGGGGGTTGTGATGCACTTTATAGAGGCCAATGGGATGAGAAAGGGCATACTCTTTGGATGACATTACAGGATGTCCCTCCTCAGGATGGATGAGATTGGAAGGAGGCCTTAGGTATGGGTATGGGTAGGTCATAAGGCTGATGCATGTGTTGAGGGAGAGTGTATGTGTGTGTGTGTGTGTGTGTGTGTGTGTGTGTGTGTAGTATATGATGTACATATGTCTAGGGGTGTGGTTTGTATGTCTATGGGCTGATTTGTATGTGTGTGTTGTAGTGGCAAATGGTGTGTGTGTGTGTGTGTGTGTGCGTGTGTGTGTGTGGTGTTGCATGGGTATGTGAGGGTAGTGTACCTATGTGTATGAGGTATGTGTGTCTAGGGGTGTGGCATATATGTTTAGAGGCTAATTTGTATGCGTGTATTGGAGTGGTGAATGTACTAGTGGTGGTGATGGTGTGTGTGTGTGTGTGTGTGTGTGTGTGTGTGTGTGGTGTTGCATAGGTGTGTCAGGGTAGTTATCCATGTGTATGGGAAAGAGCAACTGATTAGTGAGGACTCCTTTAGAGCCCCAGTCTGGGGTTTCTTGCTGACCACAGATGGGGGCTTCTCTTCCCATAGGTAGGCTGCAAAGCTATTGTATTCCCCAAGCAATTCAAGACCCAGCAGTACTACAACATCCTGAAGCAAATCTGTCCAGAACTGGAAAAGGCCCAACCAGGAGCCTTGAAGAGTGAGAGGTGGGCATGTCCTGGGTTTGGGGACTATCATATGACATCTCAAACTCACACACCTCTTATCAAACCCTGGACTTGCCTTTGGCCACTTCTCACCATCCTCTCTTCTCTGTCTCTCAGACTCCCAGATCTGACCACAGTCATCTCTGTGGATGCCCCTTTTCCGGGGACCCTGCTGCTGGATGATGTGGTGGCTGCTGGTGGCAAAGAGCAACATCTGACCCAGCTGCGGTACACCCAGAAGTTCCTGTCTTGCCATGACCCCATCAACATCCAGTTCACTTCGGTAGGACAGAGGTCTCCAGCTGATGCATGCCCTCTGCCCTGTGACCCTTCCCCAGGATGGGGAGATGGCAGAGGGAGTCAGGAGATCAGCACTCCCACGTGACCCATCAGCAACTGGTGTTTTTGTCACACATCCTTTCTGGACCCTGTTACTCCCAGTGCAGTACAAATTCACAGAGTCACCAGGGTTCAGAGGGGCAGAGTTGGTAGATCTCATTCATGGAGAATCAGAGGCCCCAGAGGGAGTTTTCCGAAGGCCACTCAGCTAACTGATGATGGGAGTTTTCTGAGATACCTTATGCAAATGGTACAAGGACAGAGATCTTCTTTCTGCAGTTTTAGATCCCAACATCTGGCCCTGTGCAGTTCATCGTGCATAAACAAAGGGAGGAAATGGATACAAGGCAGCCATATCCTAGTCTTTGAACTCCTAGCCTGCTATTCTCTGGAAAGTTGACTGAGAATGGGAAGGAAATCGGGAGAAAGAGGCTAAGCTCTCACTTGCTTATCTTCTCAGGGGACAACAGGCAGCCCCAAAGGGGCCACCCTTTCCCACTACAACATTGTAAACAACTCCAACCTGATAGGCCAGCGCCTGAAGATGCCTATGAAGGTGAGGCAGGGTTGGGTCTTGGTGAGGCTTACAGGTTGCGGTAAGTGGCTGGGCAGGAGTGGGACAACTTGCTGGGTTCCCCCTGCTGGCTGGAGGAACTGGCTCCGTGATAGACCCAGCCTCCTGTCTCCATCTTCAGACACCAGAGGAGTTGCGACTTGTCCTGCCCAGCCCCCTGTACCACTGCCTGGGCTCTGTGGGGGGCACAATGGTTTGTATGCTACACGGCGCTACCCTCCTCCTGTCTTCTCCGAGTTTCAACGGCAAGCAGGCGTTGGAAGCCATCAGCAAAGAGAAGTGGGCATTGGTGGACAAGTCACCTGTGGGCTAATGAGACCCTCCAAATCCTCATTCCTGGGCCTACCCTCCTTTTTCCAAGATGCTTCCTGTCTCCAGCCAGGAGACCTAGGGTGGGGGTAGTGGGGACTCCCAGGAGAGGACCAGGTGCTGCCTTGAGCTTCTGCCTGTTCCCTGGCTTTGGCCTTGACCCTTACTGAAGGTTCATGTTGGGTGGGGGAGGAGTTCCCTTTCACTCCCAAGCCTAATTTTGAGACCTTCCTTTGCGCAGAGGCTCCTTCCTGTATGGCACTCCCACCATGTTTGTGGATATCCTCAACCAGCCAGACTTCTCCAGTTATAATTTCTCATCCTTACGAGGAGGTGGGGTTGGGTAGAGGGCAGCCAAGCTTGGGGTGGGGTCTTCTTCCCTTACCCTGGTGAGCCAACCGGTTTTTAATACAGGTGGTGGGAAGGGCATTGTAGCAATGTGGATGAGAGAGGGAGGCAAATTCCCAGTGTCAGTGTCCCTAGATGCTGGACTTTTTTTTTTTTTTTTTTGAGACAGGGTCTCACTATGTATCCCTGGCTGGCCTGGAACTCTCTGTGTAGACTAGGCTGGCCTCAAACTCATAGAAATCTGCCTCCCTATGCCTCTGTCTCCTGAACAGTGAGATTAAAGGTATGCACCACCACACCTAGCACCAAGTTCAGCTTTTATGTCCTGCATCAGGCTCTAGGTCACTCACATAGTAGATGATGGGGGTGCAGTGGGCCTGAAGAATGGGGAGCTGTGTTAGCCTCTCCTGTTTTCCTGCAGTACTGAGGGTTGAACCAGGTCATCTGCATGCCAGGCAAGAGTTCTACCACACAGTTATAGCTGTTTTTTACTGTTTTTGAGACAGGATCTGACTCAGTTACCCAGGCTGGCCTTGAACTCACTCTGTAGCTCAGGCAGACCTTGAACTTAAAATCTCCGTCTCTGAGCCTCCCAAGTAGCTGGCATTATAGGCCTGCACGACCAGTCCCATCAGCCTCTCTTTCTGATTCAGGTGTGATTGCTGGGTCCCCCGCACCCCCAGAACTGATCCGAGCCATCATCAACAAGATGAATATGCACGAGCTGGTGGTAAGTAGTGGTCAGAGCCAGGGTAGCTAGGAGAAGGCCAAGCCTAAAATGAGTATACACTGACAAGCCATATCAAAAGCCCAAAAGAGACCCTCAGGGCTAGCCCCTTCTCCAGGAAGCAAAGGCAGGATGAGACAGTCTGATCTCATCAGGGTCTGGTGAGGTATGGGGATAGGTGAGAGGGGAGTGAATATTATACACACATAAATTTATGTTTATAGAAATCTGGGACAGAAACGCAGAATGGAAGGATGTGTAGCCAAGCACCGGTGTCTTGTTAGTATGTCTTGGCAGGAGGGGGATGGCAGAGTTGGGACATGGGCTTGAGATCTTTTCTGGAAATAAGGATGGGATAACGGGCTGATGTTTGTTTCCAAATGGTAAGGAAGGAGGGAACTGAAGAAGGCAATTAGGGGATGGTGACCATCCTGATGACTACTGTATTTTAGTTCTGATGGACTCAGGGGAGAGGGTTCAGCAATAGCTTCTCTGAGAGGAGCCATGGCAGGGCTCAGGCACAGTGGCTGGGCAAGGGCTCTATATCCTCCCTTGGAGAAGTGGTAGTAGAGAACCCAATGTCCCCTGCCAGGATGTATCTAGATGGGTAGTAGAGACCCTGCTGGGTGGAGCTGGGGTGGGTAGTAGAGAACCCAATGTCCCCTACCAGGATGTGTGGGAAGCTCTGTGCATCAGCAGAGGCTGTAGGGGAGTGTAGGTGGCAGTGGGAAGGTCAGTAGTCTCTCCAGCAGAAGGCAAAGGCCAGTCACCAGGACTGGCTGGGTCAGGACCTGCAGTGAGAGAAGGATGGGGTCAGGACTCCAGCAGCCCAGGCAGCATCAAAGGGGATGGTGGGAGTGAGTCCTAGGCAGAACCCTTGATGGGGAGTCCCATCCTCCCCTCCTTTTCCTGCCCCTCCAGTGATAGGAGTGTCATTCCTTGTCGGGAATCTGAAAAGAGGGGCAATGGTAGCCTGCTTGCCGGCCCCCACCTATTTAATGGTGGCCAGCTTTCTTGGACCTCTTGGTGGGGAACTTGCAGCTGCGGAGGGCATCTGTGTCCCGAATGTGCTGGCCCCTGAACTTGGCAGGTGAAGAGCAGGTGGCATCCGGGCGAGAGGACTTGGCTTCCAACCACCTGGCGAGAAGAGTTGTTGGGCTTGGGGAAGATGGATGGAACACTTGGGGAAGGGACAGTGAGTTGCAGGGCCAAGATGGACTGAGGCTCTCAGTCCCAGGCCCACTAGGTAGAGCAGATCTAGAATGTATGCCCAGGCAGTCTTACTGCAGGATCGTCATATGAAGGAGGAATTTGGGGATAACATGGGGGATATTCTCACCGCCGAAGGCCCCTGAGCTGGCAGGTGCATTTCCAAGGATTGTTGGTGAGGGTGAGTGTTTCCAGGTTGTCAAAGGGGAAGTTGGCGGGTAGCTGATTCAGGCGGTTATTCTCCAGATGGACGTGTTTCAGTGTGGTCACACCCAGGAAGGCACCATCTGAGAACTGGGGAGATGAGGAGGGCAGGAATAAGAACCCCAACTCCCCAGACGGTCAGAGTCTTTCCCTAGACACACAAGCACTACCCCAATGAAGAGTTGCAATTTTCCAAGTAGAATGACCAAGTTGTCTGGATGATGTAATCCATTTTTGAGATGGAAAAGTGGAAAAAGTCCAGTCTTTTGGCTAGGGCCATACCAGCGAGTAAACAGTAGCTTCAAGACCACACCCTGCCCCCCACCCTCTAGGCAGCACACTCCCTACACAAACACGGGGCCTGGGGAGCACCTAGAGCTTGGCTCCAAGAGCCCAGGCTGGCACACAGTGAACTTGGTGTTTGGTGGGATGGGCAATGAGCCTAAACTCCCCACAGCCCCCGGGTCCTGGGATTTCCCCCAGTGCTGTCCCTGTTGCTCCTTCTGCCCCTGCCAGATGCTATTTGTGGAGCCACCTTGGTGGGGACTTTGGCCAAGTCGGACAGCTCTGGAGGAAATGTTCTATTGGTGCCCCCGTCTCAGTCTTCAGGCCACAGTTCCTGTCTGGCCTCCACCCAAAATCAACTCCCGATGAGCTGTTCTACTGTCCCTGAAAGACCATTCTGGTCCTGGTGAGCCATCAAGTGGTCTACCTTTAGCTGTGGTAGAACCTGGATGATGAAGGCCTGTCCAGAAGGCTCTATCTACCTAGACAGAAGTTGGCTACTGCCCAAGTGGGATTCTGCCTTCATTCCCTGTCTATGTTCTCTCTCTCATAACCTAGGTTGAGATGTGGCATTCTCTGGTAACAAAATGTCCCTCTATCTGGTTCTGGTTCCCACCTAAACCACCTGGATGAAACCCCTGTATCAGGGTGATTTTCTAGTACCAAGAACGGTATTCTGCACCTATATAATAGAACCCCATGAGGTGAGATGGGGCAACCCAAAGGGGAAAGAAAGAGTGAGAAGATGGACAGGGGTTGGGTCTGGTAACTGGGGTAGACCAAAGGGCAGCAAGCAGTTTGGGGAACAGGGAGTCACAGTCTGTTCTCTAAGAAGCCACCTAGGGACTTGTGTGTACCAAGGGTTGCCTCTGTTTCTTTGTGGGGCCCGTGGCACCATTGCCCTCAACCTGGTGGAGTCTTTGGCTCCCATGCCTTGATTTCCCTACTCAGTGAAATGGACCTGAGTATGCAGTGAATTGAGTGTGTGTGGACCCAGGGAGAGGATGGGGCGTCCATTAGCATCTCTGGTGGTGTGGAAGAAGCCTCCTTAGGTATTTGCTCCCCCATTCTCCAGCCCCCCATTTTGCATTAGCACACAGACCAGCCCCCAGCAGGAACAGGGTGTCTTTGTGAGTCTGATTCACTAGGCGTCTCTGGAAGGCTCCTCAAAAGACAAACCTTCCTTTATGGTAGGTTTACTGGAGACTGGGAAAACTGCAGAGGAGGGGTGGAAGGCCCAACAGGAAGAGGTGGCTGCTGCTCATAGTGAGGTTTGGAGCATGCTACAGATGCCTCCTGAGAGGCCATTTGTGGGGCCAGGACAGCCTCCTCCCCTCTTATAAGGAGGAATCCCAAGAGGACACTGCTGAGAAGCAGCTGGGCAGGGATTAGGGTGGCAGTGTGACAAGTGAGGGAGAGAGGAAGAGGGTGGTGATGTGTCAAAGTGAGGGAGAAAGGTGGCAGAGCCTTGGTGATGTCCTGAGGGTTGGGAGTCCATGAGGAGGAAATGTAGTCCTGGGCTGGCCTCCGGGAAGGGAAGAAGGAGCTAGAGGAGCTCTGCAGCAGGGCACTCACCTTCTCTAGGTTGGTATTATCCAGCCAGAGTGTCTCCAGGTACCTGCCAAAGGACTGGAAGGCGCTGTCAGGGATGCTCTTCAGAGGGTTGTGAGACAGCTTCAGCTCCTCCACCACCCGAAGTTTGCTCAGGGCAGCTGAGGGGTAGCTGGACAGCTGGTTCTTGTCCAGGTGGAACTTGGCAAGGTTCTCCACATCATCCAGGGCACCAGGCTGCAGGGAACTGAGGGAGTTTTCTGACAGGTAGAGCCAGCGCAGGTCCTTGGCCCCCTGGAAGGCACCTGGGCGCAGCTCTCGGATTTTGTTGTTGTTGAGCTGCAGGATGAAGAGGTTAACTAGAGGGGAGAGCAGCCCTCGGGGCAGCTCGGTCACCTTGTTGTGATCTAGATAGAGGTAGGTGAGCTCGGTCAGATCGTCAAAGGCACCGGCTCGCAGCACGCGGATATCGTTGTGGGACAGGTACAGGTAGATGAGCTGCTTGAGGCCTCGGAAGGCGCCGGCGGCCACCTCTCGGATGTTGCAGTGCTGCAGGTGCAGGGAGACCAGGTTCGGCATGGTCCGAAACGAGTTGGCAGCCAGCACTGGGAAGTTGTTGCGCTGTAGGTTGAGCAGCTTGGTCTTCTCTGACACCTTGGGGATCTTCTGCAGCCCCACTTTGTCGCAGATGACGTGCTGCAGGTCGCCGTGGCAGTGGCAGTTCTGGGGACAGGCGGCCAGTACCGGCAGGAGGCCGGCGACAAGGCCCAGGCTGAATAAGAGCGCGCAGGCCATGGCCAGGACGCCTGAAGCCAGGACTCGGGGCTGCGGGCGGCGGGGCGCGGGCAGCGGTGAGTCCTCGGCTCTTGGGTCTCCTGCCCATTTATAGGGCAGCCCTAACCGCAGCCCGTGGCCGAGCCAGCTACTACGTGGAGCTTCGAGGCCACCGACTTAACCCCCTCCCACCCGGAGATGCAACCCTGTGCTGGGGGTTCTTCGCAGCTGGCGACTGTGCACCGGGCTGGGGGGGGCGTGGCCCTGAGCCCCAGCCCCTTGCTTCCTGCTCTCAAATGCGATGCTGCCTCTCCCCCCACCTCTGCTACCTTGGACGCCCACCCCAGGGAGGTAATGGGTGTGTCTAGGGTCCCGAATTTCCACCAGGGAGAGGGAGGCGTTCTTAGAACTTATTTATTTGCTTAAGTTTGAGTCTCCTTGCCCCCTCCCCCATACACCCTTGGCAAGCAGGGTACCCTAGACCTGGGGAGGGAGGAAGTGGGGGCCCGACACCGGATGCGTCTCGCCGCGGTCGGCCAGCCGGCGGCGCTTTAATGGAGCTCTTGTGCGATGCCGCCGGAGCGTGGGAGCCGCATGGCGTCGGGCTCCCTCATCTGGCTAGACCCGCCCCAGCATATCCCAAAGAGTTGAGACAGGGTTGCCTCTGCCTCTTCACAGAACCCGTGGGCACCAGGTCTGCAGGAGCCCAGGTTGTGGGCTTGCTCCTGACCCCTCTCCTTAGCTCTGAGCTTGTGATTCTGTCCCTTGCACCCTCAACCCCTTTTTCAAACAGAAAAGTGGGAGCTGGTATGTGTGTGCGGGTTGTGGGGAGTGGACCACATAGGACTGGCAACAAACCTGGAGACCACAGACCACTGAATGAGCACATTTGCACCATCCTCTCCTTAATCTCCCCACCAAGTCCTTCTCCCCTCCCATCCCCCGTGGTTAGGACCCAAGCCTGACAGGTCTCAGAGTGGCAGCCTAGTGGCGCCAAGGTGTACTTGGCAGAGGACTGTGAGGACGGGTTGGATGTGGGGGTCCTGACTATGGGGGAGCAGCCCTGGCCACTCTGGCCACCAGAAGCTAGACTGTGGGCAGCCCCACCCCATGGGTCAGGTCTCAGTGCTCACTTGTCAGCCAGAATCTGGAGTCCTGTGGAGAGGAGCTGGTGAGCAGACAGGTCATAGCTCTTACCTGGGCTGCCTGGCAGGAGATTTTGTGTTTGGGGAGGTGGTGGAGGAACCAGACCCCCAGCTATGCCAGAGCCACATGAGTGGATGTGTAGGAATGGGGGGACACCAACAGAGATCGAATAGAGTACAAAGTTGCTCTCCTAGATGCACTCCTGTCACCCAGTACCTAGTTGCCAGGACTTACTCTTCTCTAAGCCCCTCTTAACCCCTACCTTTAAAATGGGGAGGGTTGATATCATTCCTGGCCTAGAACATTCCCTGGTGGTATTTAGGCTGGCTGCTGGTTTTTCTGTTGCTCAGGATGTTCTAACCACTGGAGGTGTGTGTATGTGCCACAGGCCTTTTAAATTCCTGCTCTGGCTCTACTTTTATTTTGATGAAAATAGATGTACAGGAAAGTCTCCAGAGCTTGGAGAGCACCCACCCTAAGTCAGGCACTTGTCCCAGATTGGAGGGGGGGATGTTGTGTCTGCACCTTTCCCAGCTGGACCAAGCAAGACAAGCTGGCTTTCTCATCAAGTTTATGGGGCCTTTGGTTTGGAAGGGAGGGACAGAGGATGTTGTGATCTGAAATCAAGAAGGTAGGACTAAGGCAGCCTGGGGATGGGAGAAGTGTGGCTGTTGGTAATGCCAGCAACTGAGGCTCTATAAGAACAGGGGACTAAGAGAGCCCTGGTCATGAGAGACTGGCTTCCTTATTCCCAATTCTGTTTCAGATCAGGGACCCCTGCAGACAACTGGCTCCTGACCTCTGACCCCTAACCCCCTACCAATGCCATCTCAGTTCTTACCATTGAGCTCCCTGGGTAGCTCACCCCAGCCCTCTGATGTCATTGAGTTCCATTCTGGCCCCTCTAGGTTGTTTATGGAACCACAGAGAACAGTCCTGTGACCTTCATGAACTTCCCTGAGGACACCCTGGAGCAGAAGGCCGAAAGTGTGGGCAGAATTATGCCTCACACAGAGGTGAGCCCCTGACTGATGAAGTCCCCCAGAGCCCAATTTCCACCATTTGAGGACACTTCCTGCTTTCTATCAGAGATCCAAACAACTCACTCAGATATGGAGAGCCCCTGCAGCAGGGGTTTGCCTGTGCCTGGCTGGGCTCTCTGTGGGCTGAAGCAGGAAAGGGGAAAAGCTGGGACAGCGGCCCTGAGCAACCGCCAGCTGAACCTCTCCTCAGCCACCCTTCCTGTCTGAGGTGTGTTTTTGCCAAGCCCACTGTCTGTTTCAGGGCAGCCAGGGCAGTCTCAAAGAGGAGCCAGGGCACAGAGATTTTTTTTTTTTCCTACACAGCCCTTTTCTCCCCCCACAGGTCCCTACCTCTCATTCTTTTGATTGAACATAAACCCTTCTTTTCCCAAGCAGCCCATCCCTTGAGGGTCCCTTACACTTTAAATTCTGCCCCAGAGCAGACTCCTAGCTATGCCTCCTCTCTGGCTTCAACTGTGGAGCTTTATGCAGGTAGCCCTGAGTTTCCCTGCTTCTGTGCCAGGGTGCCCACATAGTTGCTCCCTCTCAGGCTGGTCCCTGCCCTCTTCTCTCCAGTGGTCCTTCTGGGAGGTATGAGTGTGCAGGGTCATGAACCTCCATCCCCATGTTCTCCACAGCTTCAGTGCCACCTTCTTTGGGATGCACCCTGGAAGTTGCCAGGCAGGCATCCTTCTCCCCATACTCCAGACATTGAAACACCCAGACCTGGCTTCCTTTGGCACGTTGGCTATGGCTCTTTGTCCACTAGGCTTTCAGACTCTGCCTCTCCTGTTCACATGGTGCTGCCACGCCACCCTCTTCAGTTTATTTACTGCCTCGTGGGAAGTGAGAGGAAACAAACTACTTTACCTTCTATCTGGTTTATAATCCGGCATCTGACCTGGCAGTCTTCAGTCCTCTTTCTACGAGGCAGATCCTCACCCTGTCCTGTTCACCACCTTGGCCTGGGCCTCAGTTGTTCTTTCAGGCCTAATTTGGGTCTCTGCCTGGGGATGGGTCTACTCTGGCCTTTTTTTTTCTTTCCCTGAACTGGGATGGGTAGAGCCAGGGGGCTTCATTCCTAGGGAGACAGAAGAAACACCACCCCCCATTCCCTGGGAACCATCCTGAAGAGAGTGGGATATTCAAGCTTCAAACTGACCTATCCCAGGCCCAGATCGTGAACATGGAGACAGGGGAGCTGACCAAGCTGAACACACCGGGGGAACTGCACATCCGAGGGTACTGCGTCATGCAGGGCTACTGGGGTGAGCCACAGAAGACCTTCGAAACTGTTGGACAGGACAAGTGGTATAAGACAGGGTGAGACACCAGGATGGGGTGGACGCTCTGGATAATGAGCAGGGCAGAGGATCCTGAGGCTGAGCTGGGAACATTAAACTAAACCAACACAAGGAAGACATGAATTTTAATAGGGTCTCTCCTGCCCTAGAGACTTGATTTCCAAAATTTAGCTGGGGCTGTATTGGCAGAGTACTTGCAAAGCATGTGTGAGGCCTAGGTCCAAGCCCCAGTACTGTTCAAAACAAACAAACCAAGAAACAAAAGGCTTCCAAGAGCTACTGGAGATGTATCTCAGTTGGTAGGGTTCTTGCCTAGCACGCATGAAGTCCTGGGTTCAAACTCTGCCACCACATAAACTGGGCATGGTGGCATGTAATTCTAGCATTTGGGGCTGGAGAGATGGCTCAACGGTTAAGAACACTGACTGTTCTTGCAGAAGACCTGGGTTTGAATCCCAGCACCCATATGGCAGCTAACGGCTGTCTGTAACTCCAGTTCCAGGAGATCCAACAGTTTCTTCTGTCCTCCATGGGCATTGCACGAAACGGATGGACTTACCTACATATAGGCAATACACGCATACACATAAAAATAAAATAGATAATAAAATATTTTTTAAAATTCTAGCATTTGGGAGGTAGAGATAGGAGGATGGGGAGTTCAGCTATATATTGAGTTCAGGACCAGGATAAGATCAATGAGGAGACAGAGAGGGAGAGAGAGAGGAGAGGAGGCCGGGAATATAGTTCCATTGTTCCATTGGTAGAATACTCGCTTAGCACACACTTAGCCCTGAGTTTTATGCCCATCACTGTATAAACTGGGTGTGGTGGTGCACACCTGTAATCCCAGTGCTCTAGTGGTAGAAGCGGGAGGATCAGAAGTTCAAGGTCAACCTTGTGAGAACTTGACTCAGAACAAACAAAAATATGGCCAGGCCAGGGAGATGGCTCAGTGAGTAGGGACACTTACTGCCAAGCTTGATGACCTGAGTTTGATCCCTGGAACCCACATGGTAGAAGGAAAGAACTGACTCCTGCAAATTGTTCCCTGACTTCTCCGCCTACCAACACACACAAAATAAGTTTAAAAAAAATCCCCAAGCCAAAATGTGTGCCATACATACAAATGTGTGCTAGGGTAATCTTACCTAGCATGAAGACAAGACACTAGGACAGCACACTACATCTGCATCCCCAAAATCTGAGCCAGGATTCAGCATATCATTTAGTATCTGTGCACGTTCTCAGTGCATACCTGCTATGTGCCAGTACCAGCGCTATTCTTGACCTGATGGGCCAGTGGGACGCAAGATGAGAGTGCCCCTGCTTCTCCTTCCTACATGTCTGGTACAGGAAGACAGATAATTTCAGACATCAAAAAATCAAATGGGGTTACAGGAGAGGAAGCAGCTGTGGCAGGGAGGGGAGGTTTTCTTAGACCAGGGTCAGAGAAGGCCAGCCATAAAGGCAAAGTAGCGTATAAATAGGAAGAAAGAGGGAGAGACAGAGAATGTGATATGTACTGTACTGATTTCTTTTTTCTTTTTCTCTGCCAAGACTGTAAGCTCAAGGGAATGCGTTTCAGTCCTCCAGGGACTCCTAGAGTCTAGGACAGTGGGAACACATAGTAGGTGCTTAATAAATGTTCTGTGACTGAGCAAATAAGTGAGCTAGTAGGTTAGCCCAATAAAGCAGAGGTGAGAGGCCAGTCCCGGGCTTTCCTTACAGAGACATTGCCTCGATGGATGAGAAGGGCTTCTGCAAGATTGTAGGCCGCTCTAAGGACATGATCATCCGGGGTGGTGAGAACATCTACCCGGCAGAGCTCGAGGACTTCTTTCACACACACCCACAGGTGCAGGAGGCGCAGGTGAGGCACCCATCACAGGTGAGCCCAGGTGGTCTTCCAGAAACAAAGGATCACTGGAACAGGTTGATGTCTGATATTTGTCTTTGACCCTGGAAAGGTGGTGGGGGTGAAGGACAACCGGATGGGAGAGGAAGTCTGTGCCTGCATCCGGCTGAAGAGTGGGGAGACCACCACAGAAGAAGAAATCAAAGCTTTCTGCAAGGGGAAGGTGAGAGCCCCAGTCAGCCTCACTCACTTACCTATCTCTCCCTGCCAGTCAGCCTGGGTGGGACTGGGAGGGGTATGCTGCCCTGATGAACCCAGTTTCCCAGCCAAGTGAGACTTCTTGTCCATACCTACAGCCCTTTGACCCTGCCCAGCCTCATGCTTTCCTTCTCTGGTCTGCAGATCTCTCACTTTAAGATTCCCCGCTACATCGTGTTTGTGGAAGACTATCCTCTCACTGTCTCTGGAAAGGTGTGTAAGTTGGTACTGGCCTGTGGGCCTAGTTGCAGAAGGCTAAGTGGCCCCACCTATTCCTCCCTCAGCAATGAGCTGGTGAGGTGGGCAATAGGAGGGCCTACCAGTCCATCCTGGTTGGTCCTGGGCTTTCTTGGGTATAGCACTAAATATCTGAGAGTCTGCCCCCCTCCCCCACTGCCATTCCCAGGCAAACCACGATGGTCAGTCACCATAGCACCACAACAGCAGATCTCACTTTCTCTTCTAGATCCAGAAATTCAGACTCCGAGAACAGATGGAACAACATTTAAAACTGTGAAGCAAAGGAAGTGTCCTCTGATCCCTCCCCAGCCTTCTCTGCCTTCCCCAGCCCTTCCAACCCCAACCCTCCGCAACCCTCCCCAGCATTCCCAGCCCTCCCAGCCCTCCTGGGCCTCCCCATACCCCTTTGTTGTCTTTGTGACTTGGCATAAAGACTTCCCTGTTTGGCTGGTGTGTGGCTAGTGTGCTCTTTGGAGCTCCTGTGGGATGAAGAATGGAAGAGACAGGAGGGAGCCAGCTTCTTCAGACGTAGTCCTCTGGGCACTTTTTTTCCCCTTGAGGTTCCAACTCCATTTAAAAAATTTTAATTTTACTCATTTAATTTTTTTTTCAAATCATTGCCTCAGATTAGTCCAGCAAGAATCAATCCTGCCTTGCCCCCACTGCCACCTTTGCTGGGTATCCTAGAGCCTCTCTAATGTTAGACAACCATTTTTCCACTTAACTACACTCCCAGTCCAAGAATTACTCTGCTTTATTTTATTTTATTATGTTTATGAGTGTTATGCCTACATGTGTGTAAGTGTACCCTTGTGCCATGTTCATGGAAGACAGAAGTGGGGTTCGGATCCCCTGGAACTGGAGTTACAGATAATTGTTAGCCCCCATGTGGGTGTTGGGATTTGAACCCCAGTCTTCTGTAAGAGCAGTCAGTGCTCTTAACCGCTTAGCTATCTCTCTAGCCCCAAATTGTTCTGTTTTTAAAAAATAACAGCTTTTGAGGCTGGAGAGATGGCTTGGTGGTTAAAAGTATTTCCTGCTCTTTCAGAAGACTCAAGTTTGATTCTGAGCAGTCATGTTCAGTGGCTCACAACCATCTGTAACTCCAGTTCCAGTTGCTTTGATGCCTTTTTCTGGCCTCTGTGAGCACCTGCATACATATGACATTCACACAGACACACAAACATACTTGTAAACAAAAATAAGTCTTAAATGACAGCTAGGATAGATAGCAGTTCGGATCACTTGCTGCCCTTCCCGAGGACCTGAGTTCTGTACCAGCCTTCACATCAGGTGGCTCACATCAGGTGGCTCCGGCCTCTGAGCACCCCCCACACACATGTGTCGTATACTCACACAGACACATACACATGCACATAAATAAAAATAAATCTTTAAAATAAAATAACAGCTTTATTGAGATACAATTTATATCCTATCCAATTCACCCATTTTTTGTTTTGTTTTTTAAAATATTTACTATTTTTATTTTATGTGTATGAGTGTATTGCCTACATGTATATAAGTGCACCCATGTTGTGCAATGCCTGCAGAGGTCAGAAAAGGATATTGGATTCCCTGGAACTGTAGTTAAGACTATTGCTAGCTGCCGTGTGTGTGCTGAGATCTGAACCCGGTTCTTCTGAAAGAGCAGCCAGTGCCCTTAACTGCTGAGCCAACTCGACAGATCCCTGGTTTTCAGTTTTTTTGAGGCAGGGTCTTCCTGTAGCCTCAATTGACCTGGAACTCACTGTAGTCCAGGCTGGCCACAGTCTCACAAAGATACACCTGCCTCTGCCTTCTGAGTGCTGGGATTAAAGGTGTGTGCCACTACACCTGACTAGTTCACTCATTTTTAAAGAGTACATTTTTTCTGTGGGTTTGAAAAATATTTGCATATATGTATAACTTTCACCAAAGTCAACTTTATTTTTTGTTTTGTTTTGTTTTGCTTTGTCTTTTTGAGATAGGGTCTCCCTGTAGCCCCAGCTGGCCTGGAACTCACTATGTAGATCAGGCTGGCCTTGACCTCATAGAGATCCACCCATCTCTGCTTTCTGAGTGCTGGGACTAAAGGCTTTAAACATTGTCATCACCTCATAAAGAAACTCTGTAGGGGCTGGAGAGATGGCTCAGTGGTTAAGGACACTTGCTGCTCTTGCTGAAGACCCAAGTTTGCTTCCTAGAACCCACATGACAGCTCAGAACCTCCTGTAACTCCAGCTTCAGGGCATCTGGTGCCCTCTTCTGGCCTCCTTGGGCACCAGGCACACAAGCGCGCACACACACACACACACACACACACACACATACACACATTCAGGCAAAACAGTCATACACATAAAATAAAAATAAGTGTTAGAAACTATATCTTATCTTGTTTTATCTTATCTTGTTTTCATGGCTCCTGGCCCTTGTTGGCTCCCTGGTCCCCTTCATGCTGTGTGTTATTTTGATGCTTGCTTACTATAAGATTTCTTTGCTGACAATTACTGCCATTTGTTAAAATCACTACAAAACAGGTCATGGTCAATTATCAGACTTTGGATTCTCCCGAGATAAAGATGAGTTGGCCCTTAGGGCTTGTGATGGCACTTCTCCATTTTTAAATCAAACAGGGGGAGATGTTGGGGAACCCTGCTGTTTAGGGTCACAGTCTCTCCATGTCCGGATAGCCCCAAGCCTTTCTCAGTGGGGCGCCTCCTACTCTCTTCCTGACTCACCTTTGAAGTGGCCGTCACAGATACATGACCTCTGGCATAGGAACTACCAGGTTTTAATCAGGCATTGTCTGACAGCCTGAGAGAAGCCCACGGCCACATGTAAATGGGGCATCCTAGGAGCACCTATCAACTGAGGCTTTTGCTACTGCCTCCACACTATAAATCTTCTGGTTTCACCCCAATAAAGCAGAGCTGTATCACTGAGTCTGACTGAGCTGTATCCTGTGAACTTGTCTGGAGCTGTATCCTGTGTTACCAGCCTGTGATTCAGTCTTCTCGGAGGGGGCTGTCCTTCCGTCAACAACCACTCGCGAAGATCTTCCTTTCGCTGTTCCTGCACCTCCCCTCGTGATCCGGTGGCCAACAGATCGATCGCGTACACAGAGGGAGTGTCTGGCAGCTTGGAACAGAACCCGCCTGGCAGCTGACAGTGACCCGCAGAGCCGCCAGCGCCTAGTAGCCGCGGAGAGCCAGGAACCCGCACAGCAACGCGGCACACGAAACCCGCGCACCCCAGCCAACAGCTGGCATAGCAGTGCGCAACCCGCCGCACCACAGCAACAAAGAAACTCCGTAGGGGCTGGAGAGATGGCTCAGTGGTTAAGGACACTTGCTGCTCTTGCTGAAGACCCAAGTTTGCTTCCTAGAACCCACATGACAGCTCAGAACCTCCTGTCACTCCAGCTTCAGGGCATCTGGTGCCCTCTTCTGGCCTCCTTGGGCACCAGGCACACAAGCACACACACACACACACACACACACATACACATTCAGGCAAAACATTCATGCACATAAAATAAAAATAAGTGTCAGAAACTATATCTTATCTTACTGGACATGATCATACATGGCTGTAATCTCAGTATTTTGAATGCAGAGGCAGGGGACTGCTGCAAGTTCAAAGTCACCTTGGGCTACATAATGATGCTGTCTCAAAATAAAATTAAGACAATAAAAAAACGGAGAGTACAAGCAAGAGAGTGAGGAATAAAAAAGAAAAGGAAGGAAACCTACTCTGTATCATTCTCCACCCAACCAACCCAATTTTTTTACCATTTTTTTGAGACAGGGTCTCACTATGCAGCCCTGGCTGGCCTGAAACTCATTGTGTAGACTAGGCCTCAAACTCACAGATATCCACCTGCCTCTGCCTCCCAAGGGCTGGGGTTAAAGGTATGCACTACCACAAGTAACCAACCCATTTTTATTTTATTTTATTCTTTTTTTCTATTCATTGTTTGGTTTTCTAATTTTTATTTTGGATTTTTTTTCTTTTCTTTTTTTTGAGACAAGGTCTCCCTGTAGCTGCAGCTGGCCTGGAACATACTATATAGACCAGGCTGGCTTCAGTCTCACAGACAGCTGGCTGTCTCTACCTCCTGAGTGCTGGAATTAAAGGTGTGTGCCACTATGCCCAGCTGTTTGTTTGTTTTTGACACAGGGTGTCCCTGTAGCCCCAGATGGCCTGGAACTCACTATGTAGATCAGGGTGACCTCAATGTCACTGTAATAGGGCACCTTCTTGACCATAGCTACACCATGTTAAAGTTTAGGCTGACTCTTGTCTCTGAAATTATCAGGACGTTGGCCCAGAGTATGGGAACACATGTCAGCAGGACCCCAGTTGTCTTGAGAACAGGTCAGTATGTTCCAGAGTGAACCTGCTAACTTCAGACTTATGGCTTCTGTATGTTATGCTTCTACAAAATAGTAACTGTTGCTTAATAGGATAGAAATCGTTAAGGGGGCTTTGCACCTGTAAGCTTGGGAACTTAAATTTTCACCCCTGGTTATGGTTTCTCTGTATAAAAACTTACCCTAGAGATGGCTTGGGGCTACACACTTGGGTTCTGACACCCTGTGTAGCCGCTGGCCAGCAAAGACTTTCATTTGGCAAAACTTTGTCTGAGTGGTCTTCTCTGGTAAAGCACCGCACACCATTTTTGGAGGCCCCAGCGAGATCCCAGAGAATTAGACCTCAGGCCCTGGGGGACTGGAGCAGGGAAGAAGTGCAGGTCTGGGCAGACTGCTAGAAGGGTATCCCCTGAGGTGTTCCAAGGCCTCAGGATTTCTGCCCTCCTGTTGCCCTGCTGTTCCAGCATTTTTTGATGTCCCCACCCCAAAGGAGTTTTGAAGAAAGATGCCTGTTTCTGGAAGCCTCCAGAGGTTGGTTACTGTCAGGGGCACCCTCAGAAGGTTACTTAGGGGGCTGGATACAGCCACTAATCCAGTGTCCAGGGAGTCAGCAAGATGTTTCTGACTGCCCTCTGTAACTAACCTGGTGGATGAATGTTTTGTATGATGGCCATCATGTGACTGTTTTGTTGTATTTGTGCTGGTCTTTTTTGTTGTCTGTTTCTGTCAATCCGTCATTTATGAGGGGAAGTGAGTTGATTCCTCTGAAGTGTATGCTTTAATCTGCCAATCTTGTCATTTATGAGGGTGTCCTAGTTTGCTTCTCCATTGTTGTGACAAAACACTCTGACCACTACCAACTTGGGGAGGAAAGGGTTTATTCAGCTTACATCTCCCAGGTTCATCAGGGAGCCCAAGGTAGGAACTCAGGGCAGGAACCTGGAAGGAGGAGCTGGAGCACAGGCCATGGAGGAACGCTGCTTACTGACTTGCTCCCCTGGCCCCTGCTCAGTCTGCTTTCTTATGCAACATAGGCCCACCTGCCCAGGGGTGGCACCACCCACAGTGGGCTAGGCTCTCCCACATCACTCAACA